GGGAGCACTCAGTAGAAGTGAGATGATTTGTACTCATGGCTTCTGGCTCGTTTCACTGTACCCGAGCCCATGTGTTTTGTCCTTAGCATTGGATAGCATCCCCCCTCCCCCATCCCCCCGTTCCGCTCAGCAGTCTGGGGATTGTCTCATTGGCACAGTCAGCTGCAAGTCACATGGACTGAGGGACTCATCTCGCCAGCCTCCCCCTCACAGCTCCTGGAGGCCACTTCTGTTGGCCAAAAATAACTGCGTGTGTCTGACTGATGACTACAATTCTCAGGCAATATTTTCACCAGCAAAAAAAACAACCCAGCAGCAGTGAGATCCTCTGCCTGAGCCCATCCACCTGAGCTGACAGCAGGAAGACTGACTGGTTAGAAGGAAATTTACAACCGAGTAACCAGTTTGCCTTTCATAATCATGACAATGTATCTCATCACAGTATGAGTCAGGATCTGTAACAATATTGTATCTGGTTGCTCATGAAGTAACCAGCAGCATCTCGGCTCAGCAGGCCTTTCCCATTGCAGTTGCAGCTCCTGTTCTGATTCCAGAAGGCCACTCCCCAGATTCACTGTTGAATCTGAGCTCAAAGCCACCCTGCCGCAATAGACTCTTGGATGCAGTGCCCAGCCACATGAAACAGCCGCAGAATGAAGGAGTGTGACTCATGGCTAGAAATCTCCAGCCATGCATTATCCAGCAAAACAGGAGCAGATAAATAATTTCAGCTCACACCATCCAGCTGCAAGAATGTATGAATTCCTCAGTGCAATGCATTAAATAGCTGCATCATTGTACCAGCTATACGGCAGCCCCTGTAACTAGCCTGGCAAGTGCTCCATTCTCACCGCAGCTGGAGTTCCATTTCTGGTCCCACGTGGCTGCTCCCCAGTGTCACCCAGGCCCCCTCTGTCTGTCCCCAGATCTCCTCCTGCAGCCAGACTGGACAAGACTGAGAGCCTTGGGGCCTGGAGTTCTCTGGTTAGCCCATCCCCTGTACAGCGCAGGAGCCCCTGGGCCAGCTCCCCGCACACCTGCTGCCATCTGCAAAGAGCCAGGAGTCCATGAGAGCTGGGGAGACCGTGCAGGGAAACAGAAGCAGTAGCTGCCAGGCTAAGAACAGGCGTGACTGCTGCCTTCTTGGCCAGCACATGCAGCACTGAACCAGGCACCCCTAGAGCTCTCTGTTTATTCCACACCCTGTGCATGCAGGACCCCTAGTGCAAGATCCCCTCACCGCTGCCCTCGGGCCCCAGCCCTCACCCGGGGGACAGGAGCTTGGTCTCTGTGGGCCAATGAGTCCCTGGTCTCTCTGCTGGGGCTGACAAAAAGGGAGAAAATCAGTGTGGGCCTTGCTGGGTGTGGTTGTGTGAGATGGGGTCATCTGCCCCACTATGGCCCAGACTGAGATCCCAGCTCATTCCAACCACTATCACATGGACATTCAGCTTCTGTATGCTGGTGGGGAGGCTTTGGGTCATTGCCCTGGGGGAGCTGCTGGGGGAGGGAGGAGATTTCCTGCTCACAGCCCTGATGGGCCAGTTTTACTTTAGTTCCCCACCAGAAAAGGAGCCGGGACTGACAGATTATGGGTGAGGGAGAGAGATTTGTGTCTCTGTTTCCTCATCCCTTCCTCCACAGGGACCTGATTAGAAATAGGGGATCCCTAGTGGAGAAGCCGGTCTAGGAAATGCAAGCAGAACTGGAGGGAGATGGGGGTCTGGGCAGCTGTGTCCAATACGTGAGCACAGAAAGCGGGTGGTTATTCAGAGACAGCATTTTAGAGCAGGCCTGAAAAATGATGCACTTTTACTCCTGTCTGCTTGTAAAGGGAAATCTACAAACCCCATATTGAGCAAAGGTTTTTAGGGGGAGGGGAGCCCCTCCTGCCTGCAAGCAAGCAGCCTGACCAGATCCCCACACAGCTGCCTCTACTGCCAATAACAGAGGCAGGCTCCCACAGCTGCAACCAGTAAGGGAGACAAAACCAGCTATAAAAGGAGAGAGCACAGAGAGGGTGGATAGGCATGGGCAGAAACAATGGAGTCCTCTCTATCTTGGGCTGACTCTATAGACACAGCCCAAAGGAACTGATGCAGACTGCTAGGTCTAATTAGATCCTAGGGGCCAACTGAAAAAAGCCAATTGGGGGTAGTAGAGACCCCCTTGAAAGACCACATCAAGGACTGGTGACATCACCATTATCACCTGACTGCACAGACTGACCTAGTGACTGGGGGGAGGGTCAGGGAGATGATAATCAGAAAAATTCTGTGCATGTGTGTGTCCATCTGTTCCCTTATCCTCCTTTCCCAGGTTCTGGCTGCAGATTTTCCCCAGACACTTTACTCAGAAGCAAACTGTTTCAGATTAAAACGTAAAACAAGATTATTAACGACAGAAAAATCGAAGTGAAGTGATTATAAGTGATATCAAACAGCTCAAAGCAGATTATCTAGTAAACAAACAAAATCAGAAACTAAGCCTAAAAGACTAGAAAGATTGGATATGAATTAACAATTTTTCATCCTGACTGATGATACAAGCAGGCTTGCAGATGCTGAAGACACAAGCTGCACTTGCTTTGCAGCTTGGGCTCCCTACCCCTGTTCCAAGTCATTTTCTTTTGGAGCTTCGTTCAGCAGGCGTTCAGCAGTGGGAGAGTGAACAACCACCAATGATGTCACTCCCTTACATAGCTGTTCCATATGGCAGAAACCCTTTCTTTCAACCTTGGTTCCCAGACCAGTTTGTGGAAAAACATAGGTACCCAAAACAGAGATCAGTGTCATGTGGTCTGGTCACATGCCCTTGCATACCTTGCTGAGTCATAGCACCCATTACTCATAGGCTGTCTGGAGCGTACTCAGGGGGGGATGAGATTCTCCTATAGCCCATTGTTTCCCCCAATGGCTCATTACCCAATATAGGCCCTTCCCAACCAGCTGTCTAGACTGGAAGCATCTTGCCTAGTGGGTGTCACCCAGGTGTAACTACATTTGAAATAAAGATACAAAGGCTTTGTCTACACTAACAACTGCTGCGGCTCTTCCAGCACTCTAAAAAAACCACGCCCACGAAGGGCAGCTAACAGCCCTGGGAGCACGGCTCCCAGCCCTGGTGCCACTACACTGGCACTTTAGCGTGCTGAAACTTGCATCGCTCAAGGGGGAGTTTTTTACACTCCTGAGTGAGAAAGTTTCAGCGCTGTAAAGTGCCAGTGTAGACAAGGCCATAGTCATGATTCATAACTTCAGATACCAAAATGATACATGCGTACAAATAGGATATTCATATTCAGCAAATCAGAACTTTTCCAATGACATCTTACATGACCCTTCTTGTACAAAATGCATCATAATTATGTCATAATATCATAGTAATAGTACTGTGAAGAATATGGGGTGTAGTGTCACAAGCAGTTTCTCTCTCCCTTCCGCCAGCAGGTTACCAGGAGGCAGGAAGGCCCATCAGTTCAGCAGCCAGGGCTGCAGCAGGGAGGAGAGGCTGATAGGGACTTCTCCTCCTCTGCCTGGGGTTTGCTTAGACCAGGCAAAGCCAGAAGGTCACTGATCAGCTGCTGCTGGAACCTGCCCCTAGAGACGGGCAGTTGGAAACTTGAGAGCCAAATGCCACTGCTGTGTGTGGGAATTAGGAAATGGAGTTTTTACTAAGGCCAGCCCTAGTCAGGGCACTGAGAGAATTTCTCTCCTTTGTGGAGGAGTCTCTGCTGTCCAATGTGGTGTTAGCTCCAACTAAGCATTTTTCGTGCTAAGGACATCTGAGAGGCTCTTCCCTGTGTGGATTTGCTGATGCTTGATGCCCTGTGAGCACCAAATGAAGCTTCCCCCAATTCAAGCTCTTTCTTCTGTGAATTATCTGATGGGGAATAATGTGTAAGCTCACACTGAATCTTTTCCTGCAGTTATTGAAGCTTTTCCCACAATCCAAGCATTTATGGGTTCTCCCTCTTGTGTGGACTGTCTGATGTCAAGCAAGGTTTGATCTTCAAATGAAACTTTTTCCACAGTCAAAGCATTTATAGATTCTGTCCCATGTGGATTCTCAGATGTTTATGAAGTTATGAGCTGGGACTGAAGCTTTTCCCTTCATCCAAGCATTTATGGGGTTTCCCTCGTGTGGATTCTCCCATGCTTAATAAGGCTTGAGCGCTGACTGAAACTTTTCCCACAGTCCAAGCATGTAAAGGGTTTCTCTCCCGTGTGGATTCTCCCATGCATAATAAGGCTTGCACGCTGTCTGAAACTGTTCCCACAGTCCAAGCATTTAAAGGGTTTCTCTCCCGTGTGGATTCTCCCATGTTTAATAAGGCTTGAGCGCTGACTGAAACTGTTCCCACAGTCCAAACATTTAAAGGGTTTCTCTCCTGTGTGGATTCTTTCATGGCTAATAAGGCCTGAGGTCCGACTAAAACTTTTCCCACAGTCCAAGCATTTATAAGGTTTCTCCCCCGTGTGGGTTCTCTGATGTATAATAAGGGTTGATGGTGCACTGAAACTTTTCCCACACTCAAGGCATTTATATGGTCCCTCTCCTGTGTGGATTTTCCCATGGCTAATAAGGCCAGAGCTCTGACTGAAACTTTTCCCACAGTCCAAGCATTTATAAGGTTTCTCTCCCGTGTGGATTCTCCCATGCTTAATAAGGCTTGAGCTCTCACTGAAACTTTTCCCACAGTTCAAACATGTAAAGGGTTTCTCTCCCTTGTGGATTCTCCCATGTTTAATAAGGCTTGAGCGTTGACTGAAACTTTTCCCACAGTCCAAGCATTTTAAAGATTCCTCCCCCATGTGTGTTTTCTGATGTATAATAAGGGCTAATGGTGCACTGAAACTTTTCCCACACTCAAGGCATTTATATGGTCGGTCTCCTGTGTGGATTTTCCCATGGCTAGTAAGACCAGAACTCTGACTGAAACTTTTCCCACAGTCCAAGCATTTATAAGGTCTCTCTCCAGTGTGGATTCTCTGATGTACAATAAGGGCTGATGGTGCACTGAAGCTTTTCCCACAATCAAAGCATTTATACGGCCTCTCTCCCGTGTGGATTCTCCTGTGGCAAATAAGGCCTGAGAGCTGACTGAAGCTTTTCCCACACTCAAGGCATTTATAGGGTCGCTCTCCCGTGTGGATTCTTCCATGGCTAGCAAGGCCTGAGTGCTGACTAAAAGTTTTCCTACACTTCAAGCATTCATAGGGTTTCTCTCCTGTGTGAATTCTCCCATGCTTTATAAAGCCAGATAGCCAACTGAAGCTTTTCCCACAGTCCAAGCATTTATAGGATCTCTTTTTTGTGTGATTTGTCTGCTGGGCTGTGGTTTCCTTGGGACCATTGCCTCCTCTCCCACATTCAATAGATTCATCCACTTTCTCCCTTGGGTTGTTTCCCAGCTTCCTCTCTGACCTGCGCCAATTACTCCAGGCTGTTCTCTGTTCCAAGCACTGGGAAAAATTACTGTCAGATCTCAAAATGGTCCCCTGTATTTCCACTTGCTCAGGTCCTTCCTGCTGTGGAGTCTCCTCCTCGTTCTCACTCTTTGTCTTGTCACCTGCTGGGGGAGAGGATCCAGGCAGGAGTCATTGCCTGGGCTGGTCGAAAGGACAGAAAGGGGAATAGCAAAGAGGGAAAACAACACTAACTGTTGGGGAGACTGAGAAATTGGATTCTGCCTCCACATCCCATCCAAACATTCACAGGGAAGTGAAGTTAGGGAGAAAACTCCTGACAGCTAACAGGGTGGGTGGGAAGCCATGAGCGATATCTGCCATGCTGACCACAACCTGACCTGAGTGAGATGAAGCAGAACTGAGGGGGCTCATAGCACATTTTGGAGATTTTCAGCTTTTTCCTTCATTTGCCAGTTTCTGTGTCAGTATCACTGGCTCCTCACCTGTGTGGGTGTCTCTTGGGACCTTCTTTTCCTCAGAGGCTTGGAGATCCGGGACCCATGGCTCTTCCCCTGCTTCCAGCCGGGCGACCAGGTCAGGTTTGGGAATGGGGAGTCCTGCTCAGGGGGTGAAATCAGGCATGAGCAGAGTGCACAGAGGATTGGTGGAGTATTTGTCACAAAGGGCACATCTCGAGTTTAACTTGACCCCATTATTTGCTGGGGGGTTGTGGGATCTGAACAGATGGGAACATGGTCACTGAACCCCCTTGGAATCGGGCGATGTCTGGAGGGGAGGGGAGTTGTCACACCCTCACTGGGAGTTTTCAGGGGCTGTGTGCTCTGGGGGACTTGCTGAGGCACATGCAGCTCTGACATTAACCCCCTGCCTCTGTTTAAACCTCAGAGCCCTCCCCACACATGGAGCTAGTCCCGTGAAGGAAGGTACACAGAGAACCTGTTTGAAGTGAGCATTAATGCAGAGAGGATAATATTCTGCTTCTGCCCCCATGACAGCTGGAGGGATGGAGATGAATTAGCATGTCCATTAGCTCCATGACTCCCTTATCCCATTGGAGGGGGTTTGGAGGAGAATGGTTCTCTAACCCTGGAGCTGTGGACTATGTGACCCATTTCCCTCTAATCTAACTGACCAGGGAAGAACCTGACCAGGTGCAGAAATGCAGGCCCCAGGGCTTCAATAGCTGAGGGGACAGGAATCCTTACCCAGCGAGGTCACAGTCTCATAATTCTCCTGCATGACGTCCCTGTAGAGGGCTCTCTGACCAGGGTCCAGCAGAGCCCCCTGCCCCTCGGTGAAATACACAGCCACCTCCTCGAAGGTCACCGGCATCTGAAACGACAGATACTCCCCACTCAGTGCCTGGTGCCCCAGCCACAATCCCACTATTCATGGGGAAAGAAGCCCAAAAATAGGACAGCTCTGGGAGGGCCAGTGGAGCAGAATCCCACCTCCACCTTGCTCAGAGTGGCCAGGAGGCTCCAGGGAACAGAGAGAAGGCGAGAGCCCCTTGTACCTCCCAGCAGATGGGGAAGTGCGGGGTCTTCTCATTTATCACCCATCTACTAGGCACAGGCTGACGTGGGAAGCAGAGTTCTGCGCAGGGAACAGGGACAGGAATCCCAGCACCTTCCTTTGTATTTCTCAGCAGTCTCTGCCTAGTGGGTTCAGGCTCCAGCACTCTGGTCTGTTTTCCCAGCCCTGTCCAGGGGGTTGTTTCCTGTTTCAGAAATGGGGGAATGTTCACCCCGCCAATGAGCCTGTTAATAAATCAGGTCCTAAGCTGAGCATGTCCCAGCAGGTTTAACACACCTTGTCCATCTCCCTGCCTCACCCTGTTTGTTTCCTGCCCCTCCCCCTCTACAGCAACCCTCCCCACCAGCTCCCCCCAAAATCCCCTAACTGAGCTGGATCCACCATAGCCATTTCCCTTCCCTGTCCCCTAGGATGATCTGGAACAAAACAGGGTTGTTATTCTGCAGCCTGTCAGGGTGAGAAGGGCAATTGGGGAGGTTTCTAAATTAGCATTAGTCCCTTTCACACTCCAATTCTCCCCAGGCTCTTTCCCTGCAGACAGACACTCTAGACCAGGGGTTCTCAAACTGGGGATCGGGACCCCTCAGGGGGTTGCGAGGTTATTACATGTGGGATCATGAGCTGTCAGCCTCCACCGCAAACCCCGCTTTGCTTCCAGCATTTATAATGGTGTTAAATATATAAACAAGTGATTTTAATGTACAAGGGGGGGGGGTCGCACTCAGAGGCTTGCTATGTGAAAGGGGTCACCAGTACAGTAGTTTGAGAACCACTGCTCTAGACTCCACCATGCTGAGAAAACCCTGTTATGTTATTACAACAAAGACCTGATCCCCCTGATCTCCCTCCCCTCCCCCCGGACTAAACCCATGAGACACTTTTAAATCCTCCCAGGAACACAGTCTCTGAGCCAAATGCTAGAAAAGAGCAGAATCAAAGGTGCTGCTTTGGGGGATCCCTCCTGACACTGTCCCCAGGGCAGCACATTCCCCCAGCAGCGCGGGGACCAGGCAGAGGCAGGAACTGGCTTTTCCTCTCCCTGCTCCTCCCCAGGAAAGTCAGTCTGCCCCGGGGTGCTGCAGGGAATGGAGTTGGGCAGGGTTAGAAGCTGGGAACCTCCCTCCCCACTGATTGCTCCTGCTGCCCCTGCCAGTCTCTCCTGTCTCCCTTCTGCATGGAAGAACTGGTTACTGTCCTGCCATTCCCGTGGGCGTTTCCTCTCCAATAGCTACTGTCACTGCTAACAGGAGTGTGCGCCTGGGTGTGTCGGGGGCAGCAGACACCCGGGAGCAGAGATGGGGCAGAGCAGGAGCCATTTCTGCAGAGTCACTTTCTTGCCTATAGGTCTCTCTCATCACCTGTAGTCTCTGGCTCAGGAGTTGATGACAGCAGAGTCCAGGGCTGCCCTAGGGGGCTAGTTCCAGCCACAGGAGAAAGTCCCCCCTCAGCTGGACACAGAGGGGCTTTAATGATAGTCTGTCCCAGCACAGACCCCGCTGGGGAGCAGCAGCTGCTCAGTGTGGACTCCCAGCTCACAATGGAGGCAGCATCATGTGCCCCAGAAAGCCCAGCTGGCTCTAGGGTTCCAGTATCCTGAGCACAGAGAGAGAGACTGACACCGGCCTCTTTGGCCTTAGCAATTACCAGAGCCCTCTCGTGGGGGCAGCTAATAACCGAGCCGCCCTGTGCTGCCCCTGCAGCCCCAGGGACAGTCAGGTCGATATTGATTTCACTTGCCCATCTGGACTCATAGTGGAATCGGAGACCCAGTTCAAACTGGTATTTTATACATTAACTGGAACTGAATCTCAACCTTAAATTTGTTTTACCGACTGAACCTCAACGGAACTGAACAAAAAAAAAAAGGGGGGGGGGGAAGGGTGGTGTTACCAGCTAAAATAAAGATTCAGCATTTTTAATATAGTGATCTTATTTTCATTTAAGAGAAGACAACAAACTAGCCAATGGGCTGGTGATGGCTCCCAGAATGGCCTGCCTGAGGACAGCGAGAAGAGAATGAGAATAGAAGGGGGCCAGACCACAAGAGCAGGGAGGGAGAGGGGAAGCTTGGGAGCTGCCTGCACACCATGGGAGGCAGAAGGGGGGCCAGAGGTAGATGAGCCACCTCTGAGACACCCCCCTGGGGAGAGAAGAGGGGGGAGGCTCCCTGGGCCCTGAAGTTCATAATTCTTCAAGTCACAGGGCAAAGGTAATGGCTCCCCAACCTTCTCCCCATAGACAGGCCTCCGCCCACCCTCCCAACCCCTGGGGCAGCTCCTCCCTCCAGTTGTCCCACTTGAGGCAGGGTTCATGCTCCAAGCTGCCTTCCCCACTGAAGCCACCTGCAGGGCCCCCTCCCAACCTCCTCCGGGCACTCTCTGATACCCACCTCCAATATTTTTTTTAGGTTTCTCAAACAGATTATTTAGGAAAAATAATCATGTATATTTGACAACATAAACACACTAGGAAAACTCATGTAAAGTTAAAGTTACAAAATAAATAAATAATCAAAAATCACAGTTTCCATTTTAAGTTGCAGCTCTTTCTTGGATTTACCTTCACTAAGATTGAAATAGGATTTAAACCAGTAACTGAACTTTTATTTTTGTTTCTTTGGGTCGCTTGAACCAGAAATGAAACTGAACCTATTGAATGAAACTGAACCTGAATGAAACCAAAACAAATACCAGATGAATTCCTTGCCTGCTGTTCCCAGCAGTGACTCTGCTTTGACACAGAAATCAGAGCAGGACCCTGTTCAGTCCTGTCAGCCCCAAACATTTATCACTGAGGAGTCAGACCCCCCCAAATAATGAGATTGTCTTAAAAAAAACAAAGACTAAGGGCCGGTCACTACCATGGGAAATCGGCAACTTCAGCTACATGAATACCGTAGCTGAAGTTGAGGTACTTAGATCTGCTTACTGCGGTGTCTTCCCTGTGGTGTGTTGATGGGAGACACTCTCCCATCAATTTCCCTTGCGCTTCTCCTGGATTCGATGGGAGAGTGATCGCCGGTCGATTTATCGTGTACTAGACACGATAAATCGACCCCCTGCTGAATTGATCGCTGCTCCGTTGATCCAGTCAATCGTGAAGAAATGCCCTAAATTAGGAGCAAATGTGTGCGCAAATAGGGGCGGAAGCGGGAATATTTGCCTTGTAAATTCTGAGCCCTTAGGGCAGACCTGCACAACATACGGCCCACATGTGACCCGCGTGGGCTCAGTGTGTGGCCCGTGGGGGGTGAGTAGGCAAGCGGCAGGGTGGGGCAAGCCAATGGTCGGCTGGCTGGGAAGTAAGGGTGAGCCAGCGGCAGGGGGTAGGGGCAGCGGCAGAAGGTAAGAGGCCAGCGGTGGGCAGGCGAGCTGGCGGCAGGGGGAGGGGGGCTGAGGAGACGAGGGGGCAGGCAGTGGGGGGGGGGGGCGTGGGGGGCGGGGGGGGGGGGGGGGGGGTGAGGAGGCAAGCGGCGAGTCGTGGCTGACCTGTTCTATTGATCTTGTCTCATAAAAATTAGCCCTTTTTGCTGCTTTTCTCTGGGCTGGGGGTTGTCCCAATGCTGCAAAGAGGGTGTTCCCAAAGGAAGGTGCTTGCTTCTAACTGCTCTTCTCTAATCATCCCACCTGACAAGTTTGATTGTCCTTGGTCTGGCTCCCATTCCCTCTCCAAGGGTTGCAGCTGTCTGGAGGTGCCTGCTTTCCACGCCTTCCTCATTCATTCAACAGGGCAACTGATTACAAAGTTGGGGGGAAGATCTTATTCTACTTCTAGCAAAAAGACATTTTTATTTTACCTTAATTATACTACCTTAGGGGCCCGCTATAACATATTACCAAGGTTCAATACAAAGTCATATAAAAGTTCAAATGTTTTCTTTCAACGGAACAAGTGTTTTTCATTTTTCCATTATTCATAAAAAAAATTAAAATAATTTAAAAAATTGTTTGCTTTAATTGAAAAATTCTTAATAAAGTGTCACGTCACCCCCCCCCCACCTTCCTTTTCGGCGGGGCAGCGCTGGAGAAGGAGGGTTTGTTTCCGCGGGGCAGACAGCGCCGGGGGTGGTGGTGTTGTGTTTTGGCGGTGCTGGGGGTGTGTGTTTCGGCAGCACTGGGCAGGGGGGGGTTTGGCCCTCAGCTGTTTTCTTTGGAGTAATATGGCCCTTGCGGCTTTATGAGTTGTGCAGGCCTGCCTTAGGGGGAAGTCCGCTGCCCCTCCCCCCCCCCCATGCTTGTTTTACCATTTCTAGGGGGGAAAGATTCCCCACTCACTGCTGGGTGGGGCAGCCCCTTCCCCCTCTCGTATCCCATGGGCTGGG